CATTTCTCATTTTATTTTGCCCAGTGACCATCTCACCTCTATTTATTTATCTTCTGGAGTCAGTATTCCCAAATATATCCCTTTATTTCTGTAAGAATTGTTTAACTAATTCTCTACTAACCTTTTAATAAGCTTTTGACACAAAAAACCTCTGTTGCCCAATAACTGCTTAAGGTTTTGGCCAGTTTTATCATGAAGAATAACAGAGGATTTTATTTATTTAGGTGCTTTCACATGATGACCGTATTTCTACATGTAACAGAGTAATATTTCTCTCTACCACCATCTACCATGATAGTGAATTATTGTATGACCACCGTGAATGTTGAACACAAAAGAGCACTTGAGAGAACACAAAAGACTTGAATGAAAGGGAGAAGATAAAAAGGATATAGAAGATTCTTTTCTCATTCTCATACATAGAATGGAAAATAAATCATTTCAGATATCTCAATTTACACCAAAGGAGTCACATGGGATGTGAATTTGGTCATTGCCTTTCATCAAAGGATTTCTAAGCATCTCACAAGTATACTAAATCCTTTAAATACTCTTGAAACATTGTTATCCCCATTATAGTAGGAAGTAAATGGAAGCACTGACGTTGTAAGTGATATTTTAATCTTCCATTCAGAAATTCCCTAACTAGTTTATGGGCCAGTATTATTATCACCTTTATGAAGCTTAGTGAAATTATGTGATTTGCCCAAACTTAGTGGAGGAATTTGGCATAGCATCAAGGCTCTCTGACTCTTATCTGCTTTACCAAGTTTATCTGTCTCCTCACACACCCACTCTTACCCTCAGCTCTGCTATTCAAAATTATATTTAATCCAGTATTTTGAAGAGAAGCTCAAAGGGGTGCTTGGGTGGCTCAGTCAGTTCAGTGTCCAACTATTGATTTCTGCTCAAGTCATGATCTTGGCGTCTGAGATTGAGCCCCACATTGGGCTCTGCACTGAGCATGGAGCCTACTTGAGATTCTCTCCCCTCTCTGCCAAAAAAGAGAAGCGCAAAACATGTAATTTTATGCTTTTTGATGTGTCATTCCTCATTCTTAATTATAAACGAAATGAAAGTTCATTTTTTTCTAAAGTAATTTCTTTTATATTGTCATCAGTGTTAGTAATGTTGTATAATGAAACTCCTGTACTTGTTCTGTTCTGATAGAATCAGAGAATCCTATTCAGGATACTACCATGTGATAAGCTAAATAAAATAGGGGAGGATAGTCTTAGTAGTATGACTAATCCCATAAACATAGTTACTTCCTATTCCTCTTGATATGAAATTGCATGGCAAATGTATTTATCTTTCCTAAATTCTCAAGAGCAAAATGCTGGTAGCAACCAGAATTTTCATCCCAATGAATCTAGACTTAGTAAACCTAAAAATGAAGCACAGTAGTTAAATTATGGACATAGGTGTAAATTTGGGTTAAGCTGGAAGTGGGAAGTAATCTGCAGAAGTAATAAGATTACCAGGACAAGGGAGGAAATTAGGATACAGTAGATAAGTGCCCATTTAAAAAATTATTTTTTAAAAGACTTTATTATTTGAGAGAGAGAAAGATTGAGAGAATGAGTGGGTGGAGGAGCAGAGGGAGAAGCAGACTCCCTGCAGAGCAGGAAGCCCGACATAGGACTCGATTCCAGGACTCTGGGATCATGACCTGAGCCGAAGGCAGATGCTTAACCAACTGAGCCACCCAGGCGCCCCTAAAGTTTACAGTTTAATCATTAAGTGTACAGTTCTATGACATTAAGTATATTCACTTTGTACAACTGTCACCATCATCTATCTCCAAAACTTCTTCCATCTTGCAAAACTGAAATTTTATACCCATCCCTATTCACCCTTCCTTTAGTGGCAACGAGTATTTTCTGTGTTTATGAATTTGACTACTTTAAGTACCTCGTTTGAGTGGATCATACAGTATTTGCCCTTTTGATATTGGCTTATTTCACTTAGCATGATATCTTCAAGGTTCATCTGTGTTGTAGCATGTGTCAGAATTTCTTTCCTTTTTAAAGCTGAATAATATACCACTGTATATCTATACTACATTTCGTGTACTCATTTACCTGTCAATGGGCACTTGCATTGTTTTCACATTTTGGCTATTGGAAATAATGCTGCTATGAACATGGGTGTTCAAATACCTGTTTGTGTCTCTGCTTTCCATTCTTTTGGATATATACCCAGAAGTGGAATTGCTGAATTATATGGCAATTCTACATGTAATTTTTTGAGGAACTGCCAAACTGTTTTTCACAGCAGCTGTACCATTTTACAGTCCCACCAGCAGTGCACGAACATTCCAGTTCTCTGTATCCTAGCCAGCATTTTCTCTCTTTTTTTTTTTTATAATAGACATCCTAATGGTTGTGAAATAGTATTTCTTTGTGGTTCAGATTTGCATTTTTCTAATATTAGGGGTGTTGAACATTTTTTCATATGTTTATTGGCCAGTAGTATATCTTATTTGGAGAAATGTCTATTTGAGTCCTTTTTGATGTATCCATTTTTTTTTTAAGATTTTTTATTTTTTTGACAGAGACACAGCGAGAGAGGGAACACAAGCAGGGGGAGTGGGAGAGAGAGAAGCAGGCTTCCAACAGAGCAGGGAGCCCAATGCGGGGCTCGATCCCAGGACCCTGAGATCATGACCTGAGCCGAAAGCAGACCCTTAACGACTGAGCCACCCAGGTTCCCCATGGTGTATCCATTTTTTTAAACCAAAGTAATAACCCCTAAAACTGCTTATAACTCTACAGAACTACCAGAGATATTGCTTTTAATTGCCAACTAATACTGGTAACAAGTGAGTAAATACTTTAGAAAAATATTTATCGCATATATCTAATCAAGTTTTGTCTGTTCTTCCTTTATAATATATGTTTCAACCATCTCTTCCTCTCTGTTCCTATTAACATCATCCTCTTCCATGTAACACAATATCATGCTTATATTACAGTTGTTTGTGGCTAAAAGAGTGGATAAAATAAGATTAAAAGCATATAGTATGTACTTAATTTAATAACATACTTTGACTTTGGGCCTAGTTCTAATAGATTGTCATAAAATCCTCTAGTGGGTTTGCTGTTCTTTACCTCTTAACTCCTCCCCCTCAATTCAACAAAGATTTGTTGTGCACAGGACCTGAGATCTCAGTTTCTGCCCTTCAAGCTGTGTGACAGTGGGCACATCACACCAACTCTTCCATATTGGATGAACTAAGTGATTTCTTAGATTTCTCCTAGTCTCATCTATTAAATCTCTTCATGATTCTTGTAAATATTACCAGGTTTTAGTTTACAAGCCTGAATTATCTGAAAACCATATCACCCACAATAAATCATGTTTTTAGATTCTCACTGAACTGTTAAAAGTGGGAAATAACAGTCTAACCCAGCTCACTTTCTTGTTTACTTTTATATATTTCCTTGAGCTTCTTAGATCAACCCTAGGACCTAAACCGGAAATCTTTTAAATCCAAACATTGAGTTACTTTCTCTAAGAATCAATCATCAATAAGTAATATTTTGAGCAATTAATATCAGGGTAGGGTTTGTTTCCTTCTACTAGGTAGTATTACATCTTAGCATTTAAAAACAGAAAAAACTCTGTGCTGTGTACTTTTAGTTTTTGATTTCTACTTTTGAAATTTTATTAAATACCAAAATATTTCATGTACCTGAATAGAGTACTATATATTCCAAAACTAAATATGTATTCTTTTTCGGATCATCTGCCATTTTTATTTGTTCATTCCTCTATTCTCTTGTTGCTTCATTGAGAATTCACATTAAATTGATTTCACGTGGACTTCTAAAAGATACAAGTAATTTTTCAAAGTGATTTAATTAATCTCAAGAAATAATGTTATGTGATAAGCTACTATAGATATAATAGCAAAATTAAGTGAGCCCTTTTTTGGTAGATTAAATTTTTATATTTAATATTTACTACTCCATGTTTGTAAATTGTCCATCTCTTCTATTTTTTCTTGTTCTTGTCACTTGTTTGAAAGTCAGTAGAAAAAAAGTAGTTACTTATGAATAGTCATTTTCTAATATGTATAATTTTTTTTTGTTTTCTATAATACTACCTTTACAATACAATCCTTTTTTTTTTATGGTCAAATTCTCTAATGTTTTAAATAAAATAATTTCTGTTTCTCAGGGATCAAGAAAGTACTTTTAATGCTGCATTTGTCACTGGGAAAACTAGTTTTAATTTATATTGACCTTTTTCTCCTTTGAGCATTTAGTCTGCATTCAATAAAATGTTGATGACTGCTCTTTAGAAGACAGCTGTACGAAATAAAGTATTATAAATATTCAGCTTTCCTTTCTAAGCATTGTCACCAACAGCTGGGCATCCAGTTTAGCAGAACAGATTTTGCACAGAGAGAGCCTGGCATGTTCCTGAATCAGTTTAGTGGGAGAGACAAAAAATAGTTTCTTATGGATTGGGGACTTATAAAGACATAGAGCATCTGTTCCTCAGTTAAGTCATAGTCTGGTAGCACTGAATCATGTTTAAAGCTAGAATAATGTGCAAAACTTTTTTCACCTTGTTCTTACCTTTATTTTAATACCTAGTGCATTATTTCTGCAAATAATATACTTTCAACATCTCCATTAAGGGTGTGTAAATTATTCTGTCCTTATGCTTAATTTTTCGTTAGTGATATTTTAAAACACATATATGAATTTTTACAAAGATTATTTAATAATATGACTTTAATGCTTGAACTGTACAATAGTGCATGTATATGAGACCATATATAAAAGTCCATTTGAATATTATTCCATATTGAAATATGCTATTAAAAAATCCAGTTTCATCATCATGAAAATTGCTTTGCTTTCTTCATATGGTATTGTGCTTTCATTGGCAAAAGTAACTCAGAATCTTTGTTTATATTTATTACTCTTAAATATTTGGCTACTTAAAGCATATAAATCTGATTTCTTTAAATATTTTGTTTGCAGTGTTAAGAGATCACTGAAATTGGATCTGTTAGAAGCAAATGTAAGTATTTACCTGTGAATTTATAATTACATAACAAGAATGTATTTTTAGTTTTTTAACAGGATATTTACCTTAATAAATAGAAAAATTCTCAAAAAACATTGTGATGTAATTGTGATTGATACACCATTTTCTATATAAAATGTTTTTTATAAATCTAATGTATGGAAGTTCCTGGCCAGATTGAGGTTTTCCCATTTAAGAGGCACATTATTTAGAAACCTTAATAAAATAATTCAGTAGAAATGAATTTACTATTTGTGGCAAAAATGTTCTGCCATTTAAATGCATAAGAAACAATATAGAACAATGGCAGTGCTTTAATCTGTAGTCTATAATCTGCTAAATTGAAATAAAAACATTAACAGCATTTTTATATAAAAATATAATTACCTCCGTCAGCTATGTTGGCATAATTAAACAATAAAATACTAACAATGTAATAAATTTCAGCATGGTTATCACAATAAAAATAAAAATGTACTGTTGCTTATTACTTTTTGTAAATCTAGTCATAGTACATTCCCAGTGCCAGCATATCATGACATATGTTGGTTTATTATCTTTTCATACCAACTATGGAACTAGATACAAATACTAATATTGAGATACTTATGGCCTCAGTAATCTTAAATGCAAGTAAATTGATGAGAAAGTAAATTAAAACAAATAGCTAGTCAATAAATGGCGCTCCTACAAAATCCCATATGAGAATGCCATTTTAAGAAATGGATGTTATATGGAATTTCTCTTTGGAAGACTTACTGATACTTAACAATTTACCATTTTTAAAACTTCCTAGATGCTTTTTTAAAGAAATTTAAACAAAAGTGGGAAAACAATGCAATGCCACTAAAAAAATCATTAGCAGTGTAATCAGCAATTTAGAGTACCATTATCCAACTTGTTCTATACAGAATGCAGCTGTGACTGTAATTCTGCATCTATTTCTTTGGTCAGAATGGTATTTTGGTAGATGAGTAGTCCAGCTTGAAATGAAATACTGTTCTTTCCTGCCCCCAAACTGTTCTTTGGGAGATGGTAACATTATTTGAATAGCAGAGACTGGCCATTTAGGAATTCATCCTCTTCCTGAAGTACAGTTGTCATCATGGCAGGCTCTCAGTCCATTTTTACTTCAGGTTAGGATTTGTCAAGGTAGCCTGTGCCACAGCTAATATCCTGTATTAGAAAAATACATTGTTATGTTTGGCCCAATTCTGTACCTTTAAACCAAGGGGCCTTAGCTTGACTTAGCTTGGTATCACATGGCCACTCCCTGCTAACTACAAGTTCGAGCATCTAGCCTGGGCCTTTCCTCAACATTTCTCTTCTATTTTCTGACGTATTTCTGGTAATTTCTGCCTTTGTACTCTTGCCTCATTGTCTGTTGGCAGCTCTATATTCACATCTTAGAACTGGCAGCTTTCATTCTGGTGCTATCTAGGATTCTCTTCTTTGCTACAGTTATGCTTCCATCCACTGCAGTAACAACTTAGCCCTAAAGCAGCCTGGCTCCAGCAGTCTACCCACATGCCAATGATCCATTGAGGCTGCTTTAGCCCATGCAAAGGAAAATCAGACATTCAAGACATATCTATAATTCCAACAGTACCTAATTGCTCTAAAACTGCAGAGAAACTAGTAGTAACTTTATGGTCATTTTGCCTTTCAATATGATACTGAAGGAAGAAGACTGATATCTACAGAAAGGAGATAGCCCTTATATACCAGTTGGTTGAAGTGGATCCTATTCATTCTCATCTACTGCTATTTCCTCTCTTAGAGATGTTCAAAACTCCCAAAGTCCAGTGTTACCAAAGTAGCCACAGACCTTCATGGAGATTAATGCTCCATGATGTTAGGGCAAGTCTGCAAAAGTCATTTTCCTTATGAGTCTCCTAATGGAGAAAACAGAAGTATGAATCAACCCCTGTGACCTTCCTTTAATATCTGGAATGTGTACTACAAATACCATGGTTTGCTGATCCTCCCAAATTGTTGGGGGGTAGTGAGGAGTAAAGAATGTTCCAGTTTTTCATCACCTACAATGTTTAAGCTGCTCAAGTTATTGTCCTCCAAGCACTGTTTCTAGATGAATTTTCAGAAATGAAGATGAATTATTTATTACAAACTGCTGCCAATGGCAATTCAGATGAATTTATAGGGACAACTAGCTACCTAATCATGTACATAGTCTCGTTCAGGCCACCTCAGAGAAGGAATGGAAGAAGCAGATGCTACAAGTAGGAAGGGAAGGAGCATACTTCCTACCGCGGCCAACTCAGTAGACTTACTGCTGGAGGGAATAACAGTGCAAGTGGGGGAGGGTGGGGGAGGTTTGCTAATTGAGGCATGGATTCCCAGGCTAGATTACTCCCTTATTATTGGTAGGACACTACTGATTATTCCTAGGGCCTAAACTTGTCATATCTCTGAGACAAGGCTTCTGCCAACTCCTGAAATTAGAAAGAACTTTGAATTTCAGGGCATTAGGAAATTTTATAGCTCTCATTCTGCAGTCCTGTTTATTGATTTGGTTCAAATCTACATTGTTCTCTCCCCCCCCTTCCCTTCTTTCTTCCTTCCCTTTTTATTACAGAAATTTTCAAACATAAAATAGAATAATACAATGAGCTTCCATGTTCAATGATTATTAACATTTTGTAAATTTTGCTTCATATATATATATGTATATATACATATGTGTGTTTATCTGTACATTTTTTTCCTGGCATGTTTTACAAGTCCCAGACATGTCATTTCATCGGAAAATTCTTCAGTATGTATTTCTAACAGATAATGACTTTTCATAACCACAGTGCCATTTGCATCCTTACAAAATTAATACTAATTCCTTAATAATATAATTCTACACAGTCCATATTTACATTTCAGTCATTGTTTCAAAATGTCCTTTTATAGTTGGCTTATTAAAATCAGGATCCAAACAAGGCTTATACATTGTAACGTTTCTTATATATCCTAAGTCTTTTTAAATCTTGTTAAACTTTACCGTTTTTTTTTTTTTTTGGAATTTATTTTTTGAAAAAACTGAGGTATTTGTTTTATATATTCCACACTCTGGAGTTAATTGATTCATTTCTTGTGGTATCCTTCAAATGATTATTCTTCAAATTTCCTGTAAAACTGGTAAAGTTTAGAGGCTTGATTAGATTCTGATTCAAATTTTTTATAAGAATACCTCATAGGTAGTGTGTGTAGTTCCTATTGCATCCTCTCAAGAGCATAAAATGATCTGGTTTTTGGGTTTCGGGTGTTAATCAGCCTGATCCACCCATAATAATAAAATTCCCCATTAATCTTTCCTCATGGTTTTTTTTATTGATGATTATTTCCTAGATCCTTTATTTCACTGCAGTTACAAAATAGTGGTTTTTCTTTTACCTTTTTATTATGAAGAATTTCAAACAGACAAAGGTAATGCACTACCTATTCATTACCAAGCTTTGATAATTATTAACACAAGGCTAATCTTATTTCATTTATACTCCCATATATACTTTAGTACCCCCATACTAGATTATTTTGAAACAAATCTGAAATATCATCCATAAATACTTCAGTAATTATTTTTAAAAGATAAAGATTTTTAAAACTATAATAGTATTACCATATTTCTATAATAGTATTACCATATTTCTCAGAATTGATAATTCCTTAACCATCAAATGGACACTTTGTTCATATCTTCCAGTTATCTCAGGTACTTTCTAATAGTTCTCTTTTTTAAATTTCAGCATGTATATGAAATACAATTCATATAACATTCATCATTTTAAAATATACACCAGTAGTAGTATCCTCACTATGTTGAACAACCATCACCACTATCTGATTCCAGAACATTTTTTACATCCCCCCCCCCCCAAAAAATCCTATATCTCTTAGCAGTTAAGTGGTGCTAATTTCCTCTGCCTCTGGGAGGAGGCCAGGTCTGTGAATTTCATTCTTTTCGTGAAAGTAAGCTGGCTTTCTCTGTGAGGTTGGGGTCTGCTGGGCTTTCAGTGGACGTGAGGCCATCATCTGGCCAATGCTCTAATAGAAGTGGAACTTCTTGGGCTGGAGTAGTATGCATTCCTTGGCTTGATGGTCTAGACATTCAACTGTAGCACCAGTCTCATTTGCATCTATGCTTCTGCATGTTCTTCCCCTTTGGCCACTTCTCACTCCCAATACTGAGTACCCCACCAGGTCTGGGGACACAGAGAGATTCTAGGCCCCTGGCAGACTTCTTAAAGGTGAACTCCACTGCCTTGCCCTCCTTCCTTCAGGCTCCGGAAGCCCTCCATGTCACGTAGGCATTAATATTCTAGTGATATACCAGATTGGGTGAGGAAACTAAAATTCAGAGTAAGTGGTATACCCACAATAGCATAGCTAGGACACAGCAAAACTATTATATGAGCCCAGGCTCCCTTCAGTATAACACAGCTGTTTTCCTTTAGTGTAATTACTTAAACGCTTTATGAATCTTCATCCTATTTGGCAAAATCTAATTTCTAATACTCTTTTTGGTTCCTACTATCTTTACAATTGACTAAATTTATGAAATGTTTTTATTTTTTTCAAGATTTATTTAGTTGAGGGGGGAGGAGGGGCAAATGGAGAGGGAGAGAGAGAATCCCAAGCAGACTCCCCCTGAGCAAGGAGCCCAATGTGGGGCTCGATCCCACGACTCCAGGATTATAACCTGAGTCAAAATCAAGAGCCAGACACTTAACTGACTGAGCCACCGAGGTACCCCTGAAATGTTTTTAAATATTGGGTTGATTCAATAGGAGCAAAGAAGGTCTTTTAAATATCCATATGGAAAAAAAATAATTTATCTTTATCTCACTTGATACACAAAAATTAATTCAAGAAGTGTCATAGGCATAAAGTAAAAGTTAAAAGCATCAAGCTTCTAGAAGGAAATATAAGAAATTATCTTTGAGACCTAAAGTAGACAAAATTTCATACAACAGAAAAAGTACTAA